ATTCCTGCCACCTCTGCCATCCCTGCCATCCCCTGCCATCCCTGCCATCCCTGCCACCCCTGCCATCCCCTGCCATCCCTGCCATCCCTGCCATCCCTGCCACCTCTGCCATCCCTGCCATCCCTGCCATCCCTGCCATCCCTGCCATCCCTGCCACCCTGCCTGTCACGCATTCCTGGAGCTGGAAAACAAAGCCACAGCACACAGAGCAAAGGCAGGCTATTTATCTTTATTTGCGATTCATGGTTTGTCACTTGGTGCCGGGGAGAGCCAGGAAGCAGCACATGGCAAATGCCAGCGTCCTGTGTCCCGTGGTTCCCCTCCCTGCCAAGGTGGCACGGTGAGAAGGAGCTGCTGGAGGAGTCTGTGGAGCGATTGGTGTCCTGCTCTTGTGAGCAGCTGAGGAAACACCCGTGGGGCATGGCGGGTGTGATGGGCCAGTCAGCTCCTCCTGTTTGCACATTGCAGTGGGCTTGGGATGGAATGGGATGGGACAGAAGAACAGAGTATTTTCAGTTGTAAGGCACCTACTAGTCCCACTCACCTAGACTCATCTAGTGCCTCTGTTTGCGCTTCAGGACTGCCCAAAGCTAAAGCACGCTCTTAAGGGCATTGGCCGAATGTCTCCTGGGCACTGCCAGGATCATGGCTGTGCCTGCAGGAGGCCTGTTCCAGGCCTTGAGCAGCCTCTTTGCTTCCCAAAGCATCCAGGTTCCAGGTCCCCTCCCGGGAGTCTCCGGCTCGTCCTCGAGCCAGGGCATTTCTGCCTCTCCAGATTGTGGCTGCGGGAGCCGTGCTGGAGCCAGAGCAGCGGGTGAGCAGGGCTGGGAGAGGCAGCAGCTGTCACCTCCTGCTCGCTGCCACCAAAGCCTCCGCTGGCGCCTGTGACTCAGGCTCGTAGCAGTCACCCCCAGATAATCAGCTCTTCTGGCTGTGGTGAATGACAGCTTTCTCCTGTCAGCGCCGAGAGCGGAGCCTCTGGAGCATACGCAATTGTTCCAGGCAGGTTCAGGATTTCTATTTTTGGGATAATCACATATTCTGTAGTGATAAGTTAACATTCTTAGTAATCCAGTGTGTTGTGCACAAAAAGCAACACACTGCTACTATGATTTTCTTCTTCAGATGCTGAGATTGATTTTGCTTTATTGGGATCATGTAATCATAGAATCGTTTACTTACATAGAATTACCAGATTGCCTCCTGAATCCTGCAGAAAATACTGGAACTGGGAAACCAGTCAGTGCATCATCTGAACTTCCCATCAGCAGAACTCTGTGCTAATTTATTAAAAGTGACATCTCTGCTGATAGGTTCAAGGACCTGGTGAATATTCATATCTAGGTTTGTTTCCTGCCTGCTGACTCCAGCAAGCTTCCCAGATCAGTTGTAGTCATGGATACATGGAAATGACACTTTGGGGTTTGTTTTCTCAGTGGCAATGCCTTTTTACACAGTATTCTAAACATTATAGCAAAGAATTCTCCAAAGCTCTCTTCCTGGAGCGATGGCAGATGACGAGCACTTGCACATGGTTTAATTGTCAAGAAAATGCTGCCCTTCCAAGGGGCTCACAGTAGCTGGGCATCCTCTTGGTGATGGGAGGTCAGCCAGGGGATTTGATTGCACGTGGAAAACATTTCATCTGTTGCTCCAAATGCTTTGGTCAGAAGATTTCAGACAGAATATTTCTGAAGCTGAAGCTGCAGTTTTGCATTGCTCACTGCAGCTCCTCTAGTAGGGGTGGTAGGTGAATTCTCAATAAACAAAAGGCCCCCAGAGAAGGGAGGTGATGAGGAGGTGACACCACCCACGGAGCTGAGCCCTCGCCCTGGGGACTTGGGAGGCTGTCAGAGGGGTGGGGGCACCGGTGTCCCCACGGGGTCTGCTGTGGGACCTGCTGGGGAAGTCTCGGGCAGATCACAGAGTCATTCAGGTTGGAATAAGATCCTTCTCCACCATCAGGGAGTGCAGCCTTTGACCGATCACCACAAAGTCAGCTAAACCAGCCAAAGGAAGACGTGGGGCATCAGTATCACTGGGGGAGGGAACCGCGAGTGCAGGAGACACAGAGTACGAGCTGGCCCACATTCTGTTTTCAGTTTCATTTGGCAAAGTTTTCTGCGCTCTCCTGCAGAAAACGTCCCACAAAAGTGACAATAGCAATATTTTGGATATAAGCCTAGCACAAAAGGGTAATAGGAACTCCATGGGCATGCGTGGGCTCTTGATTCATCCTCAGAGATGACAGATGTGCATTTATTTAAGATCTGGGAGTGGGACTTGTAATATTTATAGTGAATTCTTTGTTCCCACTCTTCCTGAGTGGTTTTGGTCTCCGTGGCCAGTCAAGAGGCTCAGTGCTCATTGTTGACCATCTCATGCTGCAAACCGCCAAGCCCATGCCGAGCATTTCTTCTCATCCAGACATCTGGCAAGGAATGCTGAGGGTCCCGTGCACGGTCAGGGTCTCATGGTAGAGCTGTCAAGGGCTGACAGCTATCTGAGCAGGTGGGCTCAGTCCATCAGCAAGCTCCTCCTCACCTTGTCTTCTTTATTTAAAACTGATATTAAATTAAATCACAGCAGTACTTTGGTATAAAAATAATTTTGTTTGCAGCAGCAGCTGATGGAGGCAGTGGCTGAGGTGTTAGAGCTGCACGATCATCTCTTGTCATTGCTCCTCACACTGGATCTGGAAAAACAATGGATCTCTTCCAGATGGGTTTGCACAGAAGGGACTGGAGGCTGTCCCTGTGCCCTAAATGCTGTCCTTTGGCAGCACCAACACCAGCACGGCCAGCACTGTCTGAGCAAGGGAGCAGGGGCAGCGGCTGTGGGGCAGGGACAGTGTTTGTGGGGCAGGGACAGTGTTTGTGGGGCAGGG